TGTGTGTGTGTGTGTGTGTGTGTGTGTGTGTGTGTGTGTGATATGACCCAGGATTACTCTGGTACAAGTTGGAGAGAAGAATTCATTTCCCCACACCTCCATCCTTTTCATCCAGGCGCGGCGGGGTGAGGGACACCCAAACCTTTCTGTGAACCCTGCAGACTTGGAATTCCCCCAACATTGAGATGGCTACAAGAAGCCTCCCACCCACGTCCACATCCCCCATTCCAGCTCCGTTTCCCGCCAGCGACGAAGGCGCTCTGCCCTGGGTTAGTGCTCCTGTCAGGGAAGGTGCCTGTGAGTCAGTCTTCGCTGCAGTGAGATATCATTTCTACATGTGGCTCCTCCCACTGGGGTTTCCCCTCTGCAAGTTCGCCTAGTTAGCCCATACGGTGGGACAGTGGGACACTAACAGGAAGAGGAGAGAGTGGTGGGTCTTCTGGTTTTGTCCTAGGAAGGTGACTTTTCTGGGAGCTCAGGGACAAATCCCGCACAGAGGCGGACTTTCACTTGACCCGCTAGGCTGAGGAGATCCAGAGCAGAGGGTGGAAGGAGGCTTGTTTTACCAAGGCCTTCCTTTCTGGGGTGAGTTGCTGGGGCCACAAGAGCAACCTGGGGTTGGGGAGCCACATTACTCAGCTGGGGAGCAGTCAGAGCTGGAAGGAGGCCATTTACTGTAAGCCTCTGCAGCTCAGCTCCCACTCATCTCTGTCCTCCATTCGCTTCTTGAGTCTTTCATGATTCACCCTTAAGTTCATGCACGCTCTCATCACCCCCTTCACCCAGGACCGGCAGCAGAAGGGCTGAGGGATGTCCACGTCTGGCTGGGGAGCCAGAGAGGCTCCAGGGTCCTCAGTGTGGATGGTTTGGCCCAGTCTGCCCTGCCTTGCTCTGTCAACCCATGCATCATGCACTGACCCTGGGGGTGGCCCATCTGGTGCCATGGACCCCATTTTCCAGATCAGAATGTGGAGGCCCAGAGGTAGGGGAGAGTCTTGCCCACGGTCCCAGGACTGGCCTAAGCCCCAGACTGGTCACACCAAACGTCAAAAAAGGCAGCTCCGGGCCATGTCAGTTCTCTGGCTTCTCTGTCTCCCCTTCTTCCACCCAGGATATGACAGGTGGGGATGGGAGTAGGGGCCCTTATTCCAGAATCTGCCATCAAAAACCACTGGTCTTGGTGGCCTTGCTGGTGGGCAGGGACTTTTAAAACATCACTCAGTCTAGTTCCTCGCTGAGTGCCTAAGTCCTTCGGTGACATTCCTGCAAGTATTCATTTGTTCATTCACCCATGCATGCATTTCTTAGCTCATCATAAGTGAAGCGGGCACAGCTGCAGGGACTTTCGTTCTGGGCAGTCCAGGCTATCATCCAGCCTCTGCTTAGACGCCTCCAGTGACAGGTGCTCACTCCTCGCTAGACACCTCGTGCCATTCTGGGGTCCCTCTGATGTTCAGAGGTCATGATGCACCGAAATCCATCTCCTCAAAGCATCTGCTGGTTCTGGAAGTGAGTCATCTGCCTCTTCCTCAGAAATACCTGTCAGCATTGTGAAGACCGCCAGCCTTGGTGCCTTAAGTCTCACGCTCAAATTCCCCCACGTTTGTTTCTCATGCGGCATAGGCTGGAAGCCCCTCATTTATTCTGCAAACATGTAGTTT